GGCACTTCGCCAAGGCATCACGCCCATCTATGGAGTAACATTGACCAACACGACGTCATACGCAACGTCATTGACGAGGGGAGTCAAGTCCCACAGCAGCAATATGCGCAGTTAATCGCTCCGTGAGTTCTCTCCCTCCACATTCTCCCCACCTCCATATTCTCCTCGCTCTCACACACATCCACATGATGTCCACGGAACTCTGGCATCGAATCAATCACTAACATCAAATTCAGCATGTTGAAATCATAGTCCACACCACTCCCTCACTCTTGCCTCCTTGCCTCCGGTCTCAAGAACCGTTGTCTTCTTGCGCACACCCAAACCCCCTAGCCCCGATCTAAATATCCCTATATCCATATTTATACCCATCCTAAAACCTTGTCACTTTCTCTCCAGGGCGCCGGGCAGCGGGTGGAAATATATAAAAGGGGCGGGGGGGGGGACGAGGACTTCAGACTCAATGTATCCCAGTCCTCTCGCTTACTTACCTTACTCTACCAGGGACACTCCCCTTCTTTTACTCCTGAAAAAAAAGAAATATCAGAACTGATATCGACACTTGCGTAGTCTCCCATTTATATCCCCATTTTATCATTTTTAATCCCAAGTCATTTTCCACCTGGTTGCGGGTTCACGGCGAGTCGGTGATGTTTGTCTGTATTTTCCAGTGTCGGTTTGGTTGGGTTGGGAAGGAAAAGAGATGCAGGATTGGTTGGTTGGTGGGGATTTGGGCGAGCTGGTGGGTTGTGTAAAGGCGTGTGGATGGCGTGGGGGTGTGTGATGTGATGAGCGGATTGGAATGATCTGAAATGGAGGGGAGGGGGGAAGAAGGGGGGGAATGCAAGTGTATTTTTCTTGCTTCTTTTTTTTATGGGCAGGAGAAAAATTTACTTCGTGTACAACTCTGCTATGTTGTGGAACTGTTGAGTATATGGGTTTGGGTGTTTTGTTGTGATGTCGATAACGCGCGAGACAGGATTCGTTTGTTCTTCATGCAGAAACCCAAGCACAAGATTGAACAGTCTAAATCCTTGTTCATTTCAATCAATCAGTCAGTCAGAGAAAGAGGCAGAAACGGCCGGCTAGTCCAGCGCGTTCCCTCATCCCTGGTCTCGATGTTGCCCGAGTAAGAGAGAAAGACAGATCCTCCATCCGCACATGTCTAGGTCGATTTTCGCCAACAATGTCCCCACAGCATCGTGATATCGCTGTGCCCTTTGCTTGCCTTTGCTCCTCTCAAAATACCATGTCGTGTTCATATGCCCATTAACAACACCCTAGCTACGCAGGCTAGAGGCGAGCTATCGCGTCCTTATCTACAAGTCACCGTCGTCCTCGTCGGGCAGGGGCATCTCGGCGGCGTCCTGCATCTCCTTTGCGTACTGGGCAAGCACGGCCTGGTCGACCTGGACCTCTGGGGGTGCAAGGGCGGGGGCAGCGACGAATTCCTGGGGTTTCATGTTAGCCTTTGTGATGCGCTTCATTTGCTGATATCAGAGAGAGGGAGCGTACCAGAGTCTGGTTGCCGACGAGTTTTCGGGCAAGCCAGAGGAAAGGCTTCTCAAAGTTGTAGTTGGACTTGGCGGAGATGTCGTAGTACTGGAGGTTCTTCTTTCGGTGGAAGGTGATGGACTTGGCCTTGACTTTGCGCTCCTTGACATCGACCTTGTTGCCGGTAAGGACAATGGGGATGTTCTCGCAGACACGGACCAAGTCACCTGGTTGAGCTGTTAGTGGGTGTTCCCTATAGTGTGGGAGTCGCGCAAAACGTACGGTGCCAGTTGGGGACGTTCTTGTATGTGATACGCGAGGTGACGTCGAACATGATGATGCCGCACTGGCCGTTGATGTAGTATCCATCACGAAGACCACCAAACTTCTCCTGACCAGCGGTGTCCCAGACGTCGAACTGGATGGGGCCGAGGTTCTGTGGCGTGCGGTTAGTTTGGCACAGGGCGCGAGGGCGGGCGAGGGATGACATACTGTGGTGAAGCCAAGAGGGTGAACTTCGACTCCGAGCGTCGCAATGTACTTCTTCTCGAACTCTCCGGTCAAATGGCGCTTGACGAAGGTGGTCTATGGGGGAGTGGCTGTCAGCTGTCTGTCATGATGTAGTGCGATTCATGATGGCGTATGCCCGCGCTTCGCTACCGCAGCGCGCAGTGCAGCACATCGCCGCACAGCGCGGCGCCCAGATGGACATTGAAGGCTGCAAATCGGCCAGAGGAAGGGTGAACGAGAGCTCCGTACCTTTCCCGTACCACCGTCACCGACAAGCACAAGCTTGAAGGTGGGGACGTTGCCTTGTGCGGCTTCAGCCATGATATTGACTTGTTCTGTTGTGGCGGGGGTTGGTTTGCGTGTTTATTGCGCAGGACTGGCGTGGGCAGAGAATTAGTTGGGGGGGGGCTGCAAGAGAGCAGAGCGGATGTTGGTGTTGACGTTGATGTTGGCGGCGGTGTAGGTGCAGATGTAGGTGTAGGCGTACCTTTGAGTAGTGAGTGGGGTTCGGTTGGTGGGCTGGACGGCCTTTTCAGAGGGGCAAGAAGAGGTTTTGTTGTGCAAGGTGAAGTGTTGGCCAGCGGTGTGGATCCCCCGCTTGGCACTGCCCTCTGCTTCCGCGCTTTGGGGCCCATCGATCGCAGCGCAGGCAGAGAAGGCAGCTCTTCAGGCAGCCACAAGCACGCACCTTGGGCATGCTTGGTCTTGGAGAAATCACCAGCAGCTTCATGTTGACAGCAATCATTGCTAGGGCCCAGAGAGTGCAGGGCAGGACAAGGGAAAAACAGCATACACGGGGTTTGATGGATGGATAGGGCAGAGTCAAAACTCGATTTCTTTAATGAGTAAGAAGGGAGGACGATGACGATGATGATGGTGATGATGATGATGATGATGCAATTAACACCGGGTATCATATGCTACCTATACTACTGTGTTATCTCATGCTGTACCGTGCTTGTTGACCCAACCCCCATACGCCACGCAGCAAGCCGTTGTCGACCTGTTCTTCTCCCAGCAGCCTCCTCGTGCCTCACTCGAAGATACTGTACATTACGTACTCTCTGATGCACTCAGGGTATTGTACTGTATCATGGCCCAGAAAGAAGGATGGCACGCTGCTGCAAATGATATCACCCTAGCTGCAGTTGACAAGAACTTGGAAAAGATTCTATGCACTTCTCAGCAAAACTGTGGCTTGATCACAGCGGCAGCAAATGGCAGCCCAGCAATCCCCTCCCGCCCCAATTGCGCCGTGGCGTGAGCTGCATCTGTACTGACTCTGCTGGGCTACCTGCGGCGTTGGGTCGCAACACCTGGACAGTGAGTGGGATCTGTGATTTGTCAGCACTCTTCTTCGACGGCGCTGCTGCTGCTGCTGGGTGAAGGTTCCATGTCTGCCTGCCAGCGCAACTCTATCTGGTGCTCACCCCTTCGTTCTGCGACACAATTTCTGCGACACGGGACAGCCTCTCATGGTTTGTCCAATCTACCCAGCCAAACTTGATGATTGTGTCTCCTACTTTCAGCCCCGCTGCCTCTGCTGGGCTGTCCGCCACGACACTGTTGACCTTTGCGAAGGGTGCTTCGAGCGCTGCGGGTGGTACGCTGAAGGCTTCGGCGCCCTGGTCAGCAGCTCCTCCATTCTGTGCTTGCTCTGCGATGCGCGCGTGGTGCTCGTGGAGGCCCTTCTCGATGCGCGACATGAGGTCCTTGTAGTCATTCTTGAGGCGGATGATGCGCGCGCGTGTCGTCCGTACTGTGTCGCGTCGTCAGTCGTCAGCCGTCAGTCAACAGTGGACGCTAACCAAAGCCAATGGGTCAATGGGCGCATACTCTGGGCGACATCAATGTCACTGCGAGGGAAGCCATCAAAGGTGGTCAAGCCCGTGTTCATGTGGACGCCGTGCTATGTCTGTTGTCAGCCCAGAACCCCAGTGTGCTGACAGCCATTGTAGCGCGCACAGAGTCCAAGACCTGCCCCAGCGCCTTCAGTTCTGCCTCTACTCTGTCCTTCTCTGCCATGAGCTCTTGCAGACTAAGCTGCTCTTTTGGGACGCCATTGGAGTAGCCCGATGACGTAGGGCCCGACGAGACTGTAGGCGCATGTATGTCGTCGTCCATTGTTGCAAATGGTCACGATCCACGATCGAGCCGCGTCCAGCCTCCTGGGCAACAGGTACTACAGTAAACGGCGGGGAGGCCAAATTGGCGGAGTGGAGAGGGCGAAGGTGGGGTACTGCAAGAGGAGAGTGAAGCTCGAGATGTGCGGCTCGAAGGCAACGGGTGCGGGGCAAATACCGCCAGCATGGTCGCCTTTTGTCTCAATCGCCCTCACAACGCACTCCTTCACCCGTTCGACTGACTGGTCATCCATCCTCCCGCGCAGCATGTTGCGAGCGACTATAGCACTCAAGCCAGGCCATTCCAACGCACGCCCCATCATGCCTCTCTCGTGCAATAGTGCAACCACATCATGTA